ATGGAGACAGAATCCAAATTCGAAAAAATACTTTTTTCTAACAATCTTTTCTGATAAGAATCTACCTACATATGACCAATGGTTTAACTGGTCGTCGTCTCGGTGGCAGATTGTAGTAAACATGTGACATTAATTTATTATAAGCAGATGATATAATTTCATGAGATTTTCTCATATCATCAGCACCATAAATTTCATCACATTTGGCATCCTGTAAAAATGATGGTGGTAATAAAACTAGACGAATACACGGTAGTAAATTTTTTAATTCACAACGACGACGAATTGGATCATGGCGAATCTAAACAGATGGATAGATCTTATAAAAAAATATTCTATTATTTCTAAAAAAAGAAAACATTTCTGCCACCATTTTTTGAACAACTTTTTCATAAGAAAACGATAGAGGTTTGCAATTTTTTCATCCGTAGAAAGCGAAGAGTTACAGATCTCTTCACCAAAAATGAGTTTAAAATCTCCGTTCAAAGTACAGCCTGTAGAGGATTCGAAACACAAAACTTTAACGGAAAAAATTTCGGAGGACGCCTTCCAAATGTATAGGCCAGAGAATTCGCTAAGAATCGGTGGCAAGAGAAAACGTCGCCTTTACTTATGTGTACAGTATTATTTGGCTGCTACCGTAGTATAGTCCAAAATATGCAAAACTAAGTTTTTCACGTGCAAATCACATAAAAATAGAATGTAGTTTGAAAATATGAAGTATTTTGAAGCAGTACCAACCCTCCTCTTCCCTCCCCCTCTCACAGAACAGAAGGATATAGCCTTCTGTTTTATCTTTGAGACTCGCTTTTTTTTTGGTCGACCTTCTAATATGAGTGACTTTCTGTTGTGCCTTTTTTGAAAAATTCAATTTTATTCAGGACTATTAATCTTTTTTTGTTAACTTATACAGATCTTGTTTTTGTTAAGTAACGAACTCCAAATGATAGAGCAAATGACATAAATTATGAAACCTGCAAAAACTCTTAACCTACAATTTTTTCCGTAGGTCAGTTATTTTCTTTTAGTTAATCTTTTTTATTTCATAATATTCGCTGTTATTCTTCAGTTTCTCTTACCGCAAAATAAGGAACGAAAATGATCTAAA